CAATGGACATCTGCGAATTTGGATAGGCCTGGAGTGACAGCAAAACAACAAACTAATTGACGACATTCCAACACAGATAGGTAGACGTGTGAAATGATGCTGAGATTTCGTCAGCAGGTCACACACACACTGAACCATGTGAAATGGAACATTGAGATTACATATAAATTGCTTTCCACCGTTTGTATTCGTCGTCATCATCAGTCTGGTACGGCAAAGCGAGCAGTGAAGGGAAATTCGTTAGCTCCAACCAATACCACCACGTACTATTGCACTTTAGGGTTACTGAAACAATTCATCTCGGTATAATCCGTAGAATTGAAAAAGAAGTCTAGCAGTTTGCTTACAAATCATGGTGATCCACGTCGGATGCTGTGGCATTTGGGAGTATATCAGAGATAAACCTGCTAGTTCATAGAATTCAGATTAGTTGATTTCGCTGGTTGGGGTACATATCGTCTGCCACACTGCGCTTTATTCGCTGTAGCCGTTCCGGGATGGAGGAAACCANTGGAGGTTAACAGATGACGTGAAGACGAGGCATGAAGAAATACACAGAGTCATTAGTCAGAGCATTTATTTCGCGCCTTCCAGATTAGGGTCCGAAAGATTCTGCGACTGGTTGGTTAGAACCATTGAAGGGTACTTGAAACGGAATGTACGCAGAGTTCGATTGTGCACTCTCTGTGTGCTGACCATAGAGGTTCACCTTCTTCCCCATCCCTCAACTTAGGTCGAACCCCTGTTCACCTTAAATTTTACCACTGATCATGTATGCATTGCAAGTTTGGCAGCAGTCAGCCAAGTGCGCTTTACTGTATTTCACTATACGATGATGATGACGATGTGGTGCAGCTTGTTTGTTCGGTGGTAACCATGACCGATAAGCAAAGTGAAACGTCAAGATTACTACACTATTCGGAGACTACAAGAACTCAATCACCTCATTTTACGCGTTCCATTGGTGGGCAATCCTCTGCCGAGTTGTCTTTCTAATGTGTCAAACGCTTTACGATCTTATTGCCGACTGAGACAGTAAGCTTACTCTCATCTTGCATCCTTACTCCAATGGGAAAATTTGTCATTTTTCGTTACTGGAGCATGAGCAAAAGAGAGTTTCTTCTTTTGCAGTCTCTATTCGCTCACACTGAACAGCAATTTCACATTCATATCGACGACTCTGTCTTTGTATCTTGATATTTTCTGAGCTCACATTTCTCATTTTGATCTACACTCAGTTACAAAATGTTGTTGTTGTTTTGTTCTCGAAGACTGCGTTACACTTTTAGTGAGCCATAAAAGTCTGATGCTCAACTTTGAGATGGTATAGATTCTTTTCCACGGTCAATCTATTGCTTTCTCTAAATTTTATCGAAAAGACCAAAATTACCTGTCATATCATCCAAACGTGTTTCCGTTTTTTTAGGGCAAGACCATTTGCGTACTTGTGTGGTAGTGGTTTTTAAAAAACAAGCGTGGACACCCGTTGCACAACAATCCGAACGAGGTCTTGTCGACATCGGATGTGAGAGCATAGATTGATATTTCACTTATGCGGACAACCATTCATAGGTGATACTGGTTTACATTACCAAATATGCCTGTTTGTTTGTGATGGTTCATAGAATTCCTCGTCTGCCTTGTTTACTCAAGAACAACTCTGCCTTTTGTGTTTCGTTTAATATGTATTCGCTGTGCTCATGTGATTGACAGAAATTCACCTACTCGGTTGCGTAACAGTTTATTATGATTATGATTATTATACTGTAAACTTCCAGGCATAGGACTTGCGTGGTGTTGTTATTGTGTAGGTTTCATTCATTGCGATTGCATTTTATCCATTCGGCATAGAATGGAAGAAAACCATTTTAAACCCATATATATAATCATGAGCTCGTGTTGTTCATCAATCGTATCTCCCAGAGGCTGGAGTTTCAGCCTCCACCTTAGATGTCCAGGTTTTGAGTCCGGGCAGGGACACAAAACCAGTACGCAATACTGATAAGTAGCAGGAAAGACAAAACAACTGTCTACTGATCTTTGTCAGTATTCATATAAACTAAATAAGAAACAAAATCTTTACCATTACATTTTTATTGTTCTTTAGTATTATCACTATGATTATTACGACGCGAGAATTCATAGCGTGCTCAATATTCCGTCGCCCTCTCGCTTGCCCAAGTTCACCGCAAAACAGTCTAACAGATCGAACACTTCAAGCACCCAAGATCTACCATCCAGACAAACGGTCAAACCGGTGTGCGTAAGGAGAGTATTCCTAAGGCTTCATGAACCGTTGTGTTCTTGCGATAAAATAAGAGTCTATACAAAACTGCCCGTTAACCCGACCTTTGCTGGCCCCTTTCATAAAAAAGCATGCCAAGATGACCACTGAGGGTGGATGCCAAGAAAGATCTTCCGATTCATGACGCACATGAACTGCTATAACCACGCTTCAGATACCACTCTCCTTGAACGACACTGTCTTGAATTACTCGTCGACCGGAAACAGTTCACAAATAAAAGTCAATCACTGACACCCTGTTCCGACCTGAGGACTAGCTAAAGATGTTATCGAGTACAGTCTGGGTATTTGTCCAGTTTCGGAGTGAGGGATTGGCGCCCCGACTGGATTCCCAGATGGGCCCATTTTTGCCACAGATAACAACGACGCGGGGACAGTCTTTTATTAGCGATTAGCAAAACATTGAATTATTCTCATGCAAAAAAAACAGCCGCAAAATAAATTAAAAGAAAGGTAGTAGACCAAACTATTCACAGCAAGCTCTACCATGCAGAGCATAGGACACACTTTTGTGCAGAATAGAGGACTCTGGCAAGTTGCACTTACCTTGTGAGGAAAATGAGGAAGATCATGCGGTACCGGAATGAGAGGAGTCTCCGCGTCTGAAATTTCCGTTTCGCCCATCAGGCTGAATAACGTATGGGGAGGGGCAAAATCAAAACGGGACATTTTTAAAAGACAAAAAAAAACGAATCACATGTGGTGTTTCTGTGAGACTTAGAAAAACCAAGATACCCTATTTGCTCCCCCCGGAGACTTTAAGAGTGGGTGAAGTTATTTCCTGCAGAACATCAACTAAGAGTCGAGAAACCTAGTTTTCTTTTAAGAACTTCTCCTTTGATTTTCAATAATCATAGCTTTTGATAATATGAACATCCTACCGAATAATATCATTTTCGCTACTATCGGTAATCATGATACAGGTGTCTGATTGGCCGATTAAAGCTCGGTTAGTAACGATGACAAAGGCCAGCAAACAGAACAAACGAGTATGACAGTTTTTTTATTACACAAGAAGTGATTTACAGCAAAAAGGGTAAACCCCATAATCATTGATATACTGTAAAGGGGGAGGTATGTGGGGGAACATTCAAGTAAGAATCAAGTTGTTAATTCTGCTTTTTGAAAAGGGTAAGGTTACAAGAGCTGGGAAACACCGAAATGGGAAGAGTGTTCCACAATTTCTCAGCCCTTGGGAAAAGTCCGAAATCTGGGGCCAGAACGAGATGGAGGAGAAAAGGCTAATGGAAGGGGAATAGCTGAAGCGAGTTCGGAAGAGCAAAAACTAAAATAGTTACGATAGAAAAGAGATAACGAAGAAATTGCAAGGTGGAAGTTAAAGACGGGTCGTCGATCAGCCGGTTGGCGTTTACGTTGAACACGGTCGAGGACAGAAAGAGCGGAATACGAAGCTCCACCCCATACACGACTGCAGTATCCAAGCGTCGGATGGATTTGAGCTTTGTATAAAAGAAGGTGTTTGGGTGTGAAGAAACGCCTTGTGCGGAATAGAAAACCAACTTTGAGCGCAGCGTGAGAGGCAAGTGTAGAAATAAAAGGGGACCAACAGAGAGAAGAATTTACGGATAAATCCAGGAGGAAGAGAGAA